TAATGTTAGAGTTGCTGCATCCTTCAACTCGAGCTCTGCTGTTGCAATGTTCTATCACAAGACCACAACCAGTGAGGGATCTTTTCTGTGCCCGCACCTATACTGCAACATTGTACCTCGGTTTATACAGACTCATACAAAGGACTAGCCTCCACTTCCGAAAGTGTATACTGTCACGTTATTTGGAATAGATAAGAAATTACTGTTGTATATAAAATACGTTTCAAAGTTTAGTGATATTGGTACTTCGTATTTTAACAAAACATTTTCTTTCCATGCAAAATAAATTCTAAGTCAGAAATTGAATTGACAATGATTTAATTCCATTGCCTATATTTGATCATACATGAGAATTAAATGTTGCTTTTGCTGTTTATTGATATTTACTGATGAGGTCCTGTGCATAAATTTGATATTCTAGTATTCACAAATGAATATGATAATACATCTGTAATTGTGCATGCACAACACACGGCGGAAATTGATTTAGCGCATTAAGGATTTAAATGCTAGTACAGTGAAAACAGTCTTATCCGATATTCATTGCACTCGGGTGTCAGATTAGACAGTTTAGACAGCTTTCACAGTGGTAGTATATACAAAGGACAAAAAGTTAGTGATGTTCTTTATTTAGCAGAAGCAGTTCTCTGCCAAAGGCACTAAATTAAAAGAATACTCAACCAAATGTAATACGTTTACAAAATACAGCAGTGCCATTAATTTTTTATATGTTACATGTGCATAATGTATAGGTAACAATTTTGAAATAACTCGCACTGAAACTGGATCTCAATTATGTTGATCCTTTCTCAACTTTCATCTTAGAAATAAACATTCTGTCCTGCGAGGGTATGAAAATAAGTAATATGACTTGACAACATCTGCTCCCTCCCTTTCCCTCTAGGATTAAATCGTCGTCTCTTGATAAATTTCATTGCCCTCCTTTAAAGGGAATGAAAGCGTTTCCATACGATAATGCAATCAGAAAAACCACCAAAAAGAATGTGGAGATATGAACTTGAAGAATAACTGCCAAATATAATTAGTCCGAATTTTCTCCGGTAAAAATTTGAGGAAAATGGAGTCGGAGGAAATTCAAATTAAATTTATCTTTCTAAGTAACTCATCTACAAATGCAATCTTTTACACTGTTTCTTTTTACATTACATGTAAGAAACAAAGAACTAGGGAGAAAAAAAAACTTTTAATTATCAAAAGATGCCTTAAGCTTAGGCTTGTATAAGAAAGATAACAAGATGTTTATACTTATTTAAATTTATTTGGCGAAATAGGCCACGGCTGCTTTATACAATAAGGGAGCCAGGCATCAGTTATTGCCTTCATTTGGCATAGGCAAAAATATACAAGCATAAATGGTGGGCCCTGGGCACAGATGCTCACCTGCTTGAACAATAATTGAAAAATCATTCAACTAGGCACCAAGTCATATAGTTAAAAATATAGGTTAGGCACTATCGGTGAGCCAAATATCCGCCTGGGCAATATGCTTATCCTAGTAAGATGTGATTTCAGCCGTGACGTTTCGGACAAGGCCTAGGTGTGGAGATGGATTACAGCTTATCTGAAAAAGAAAACAGAACAAAATACGAGAAAGCAGAAGCCACTTTTAGTAAACATAATATGAGTTTTTCCATGGGATGTGGTTGGGGGGTTGAAATTTTGCAGAAACTTGATTTTTTGCGCTTGACGTCACGGGTTTTGGTGCTCAGGTTTGACTAATAACCCCCAAACCCCAAGGTTAGGATGATGCTAATACAAGAGCAGGACCCGAAGGATAACCACAAACGACAAAATATTGAAAAAAAAAAAGCTTATTGACACTTTGATAAATGGATTTAAAATTGAGTGGTTAAATCACATTATCAAAAGATGCCTTAAGCTTAGGCTTGTATAAGAAAGATAACAAGATGCTTATACTTATTTTAATTTATTTGGCGAAATAGGCCACGGCTGCTTTATACAATAAGGGAGCAGGCATTGATAATTGCCTTCATTTGGCATCCCCAAAAATATACAAGCATAAATGGTGGGCCCTGGACACAAATGCTCACCTGCTTGAACAATAATTGCAAAAATCATCCAATTAGGCACCAAGTCATATAGTTAAAATATAGGTTTGCCACTACTGGTGAGCCAAATATCCGCCACGAGCCTATGCTTCAGCATTGGCTGCGCCACCAGTAGGGCACCCCGTATGAAAATAAAGGATTGATGTTGTTTAGAGCAAGTAAACCAACATGAAAATGACTATCTAACTGATGTGCATGTCCTCCAAAAAGAAAAAAAACAACATTAATATATATACACGTATAAATATGTGTCAATAATTAATACTTGGTCTTACAAGATGACCAAGAAAATAAAGTAATTTGGTATATGTCAGTACAAATACGTAGACCCTCAATAGTCTATGGACAGTGAGAAAATAAAATAGGGACAAGTAACCATGACTAAAATCTTAGTCATGGCGCAGGCATGGCCTATTTTCCCCAAGTCTTGGAGATACTTGAACGGAGTTATTCATCAAAAACGCTAGCAGTGCTTGCTGCAATCTATTCAAAAACAAGTTATTACCCATCTCGGAAAGGTGGACCTTATCTTTAAAAAACATGCCTGTGTTGACCATATGTAACTCTGGGTACCTGATGTACTTCCCCCCAGACCTTAATAAGTAGGCAGCCACATGGCTGTTTACTCGGATTCTTATCCTCTCCATAGCAGATTGGTTAATAACCCCCCCCCCCCCCCGCCAATGAAGACGCGGCAGTATTTGCGACCATATCAATATTGTTGATGGTAGCAATTTTGCTAATTTTCGTAATACATCTTTTAATCTGAAACGTAAATCAGCTGACTTACCTCCACTGTACCATGAAATGTTATTATATACCCCCGTAATGAATGACTAACATATGAGGAGCATTTTCTACCTTGAGTAATGTTCTAACTTTGGGTAAGATCTCTTCAAACTTCATACCCCCTTTGCCTTGCAAGCTAAGGAAGCATTATGCCGGTCTAATTCTAAGTTGGTGCCAAATATTGATTTTCTGGCATGATAAAATGCGTGCTTAACTATGGAAGACACATATTCTTTTTACACCTACAAAAATTTGCCAACAACAACAAAAAAACATGATTCTGAGGCTAAGGCTAATTACATCCTAATTCCTACTGTACTTGAACAAACACTGAGATTCCATCTACCCCTACTGGAAATGTCTTTTTCGCTAGCTCCGTTGGCCCAAGCAGGGGAAGCTGCGCCTATGCAGAAGGAATGAGTTTTGTATGCGTGCTTGTTTAACCCCAATTTTTCTATGGTTATATTAAAAACAGATGACACCTGGTACCTTGTCACTTGGTACCCGAGATGTGACCAAAAAAAATGGTGAAGGGAAGTTGGGTCTTAAGTGCATGAATGATAAAACTGGGCACTGGGCATATTGGCTGAAGAGTGGCTTTTAGTGAGATTGTTGTCCCCCTCCCCTCTTGATCGGTTTTTGAGTGTTAAAGGACAATGAGGATTGTATTGGTGTGTTTGTGATAAGTTATATACCCGGCTTGAATAGCATGACTAGGGTCATATGCCGAATTTTGAACCAGCTCCCCATTCTAAAATAACCAAAAAAGGCTGTTGTGAATATGGCTGAGAACAGCACAGCTTCATATGGGGTTTGCAAATTGTAGGCAGCAACTTAAGTATACTGGACAAAATTGTGGAAGTTATCGGTTTATGTCCATCGAGGAGTTTTCTGAGTAAGAATGATTGTGTTGAATCAGGAAGATTGTGAAGCTTACAAAAATAAGATATCTCAGAAATGTAAGACTTAACTGTGTTTGGGGAATACTGCTTATATGATTGGTAGGAAACGATTGATTGTAACCACTAATTGATTGTAATGGGGAGGCCAGTCTTCTGTGCCAAAATAAAGCTTGCGAAAATCATTGAAAACATTTGATGCAGTGTTATACAACTTCTCAGTACTGTCAGCGATAGAATAGCTTAACAGCTCTCTAGCTCTATGTCGTAGATCGCCTGCAGAAATGATTGCGGAATTAATGTTCGGTGGTCCTACGCCTCTGGGAAGCTGGCCCGGAAACGTGACCACTGCTGTCGAAAGAGAGAATCGGCTTTGATATTATGCAGGCCTATGATATGTGTCGCCTTAAACTGAATATTATACACTATCCCCAGAGGAACCAAATTCCTAAGCAAACGCATGACCCTTTTTTGATTTGGATGTCTTAGAATTAAGAATATATACAAGGTGTGAAGAACAACTTTCTTGCCAGCCAATTTTTCACCCCAGACGTCAAAAGCCATAGCTATTGGTACTAACTCTAAGAATGTAATGCCTTTAATGATCTCTAACACTTTCCACTGTCCTGGCCATTGCATGAATGCCCATTGCTTACAGTGTACCTAAAATAGCACCACAACCTAACTCAACATTTCCTGCACTATCAGTAAATAATTCCAAAGTCAAAATCATTTGTCCAATCTACAATTCTGTAAGAAGTGACTCCATTGAAACATTCTAAAAACAGTAACCAAGTTAATATCTGCCCTCATTTCTAAACTGACCCTGCGCTTGGTGATGTGGTTTTGACAGCCCACAAGTAGCATCATATAGCCTTCTAAAAAAAGCCCTACCGGCTGGGATAGCCCTTGAACAAAAATTCAATAGCCCTGTAAGGGCCTGAAGCTCTTTCAATGTGACCTTCTTTTTTGATTAGTAAATAAGTTAACTGGTCTTTAAGCTGTCCCAATTTGTCCGATGGTATTCGAATTGTCATATTAACAGTGTTAATTTCTAGCCCCAAAAAGGTCAAATTGTTTGTAGGTCCAAGAGTTTTTTTGCGCTAAGGGGATACCTAGCTCGCAACAGATGGAGCTAAACTCTGATATGAGCCTAGCACAACCTTGACTACCCTCTCTACCTGTCACCAGGAAATTGTCTAAATAATAAACCACACTGCTGCTTAAGTACCCATTCTATAAAGGTAGAAAATTTTTCAAACTTGGAACAGCTCAGAGAACACCCAAAAGGCAAGCGCTTATCCACAAATATCATACCCTGAATTTTGAAGCCTAATGATTGATAATCAGATTTGTGAACCGGCAATAGCCTAAATACATTTTTTATATCTAATCGAGCAATTAGTGCACCTGGACCCAATTTTGCAAGCATGTCTAATGCGTCATCAAATGACGAGTACTTAACCGACTAATGCTCCTTACTAATAAAATCATTGACGCTGGACCGGGGGGGGGGGGTTAAGACAAGTGATGAATCAATCTGTAAGAACCCCCCTTCTTTTGTACCATACCCACTGGGGACAACCTAAGATTCGGCGGGGGGGGGGGATCAAATGGACCTGCAACTCTGCCTGACATGATCTCATTAATAACTAATTGAATGGCTTCAAACTGTAAACCAGACATGGATTTAAGATTATTACAATCGGTGGCCACTCGAGGCCCTTCACAACACAACCTAAAACCATATGTAAATCCCTGCAAGAGTTCTAAGGTCACCAAGCCAAGTGGGTAATTTACCAATAATTCACTTAATTTGGGCACATTAATAGGGCTTGCTGCAATATTACTGAGGTCTAGCTGACTGGGTATAAGGAACTCTAATAGCTGAGCTTGGTGCTATGGGTCTCCTGGGTAGCTGAGGCCGCCATGTTGCTTGCAGACCACCAGACCTAAAATTTAAACTAGAGCCTGAGGATGTCTTGTGTTTAATATAGGGATGGTTTTGTGAACATATCATGCATTCGTGTTTGTATTGACATGCGAGTTTATGACATAGACCCTTGTAATTAAATTCATAACACTTAAGAATGGAGGCCTGAGGCGAGGAAATCTGGGTGCTGGGAGCACTGTACATGTACAAGAGCCATAGCTCCTGTTTAACAATAGCAAATGAGAGGGATGGGTTAGCCTTCTTCTTCAGCCTAAACTGAATATCATAGTCACGCCACCCGAGTGTCTTTACCCTACTTGCCCCCAACCTAATAGTATGAATATATTTAAATAATTGAACCCTGCTCTCGGCGTGGGCTGAGGCATATATGGATGCATAAATGAGAAAACCATCTGTCCACACTTGAATGCCGTTAATTACCTTTGCTTTAGTTTTTGGGGCCAAGGTGAGGTTACCCTCTTTCATAGAAAAGTATTTTGTCTCGTCCTTTGGGTCAACCCCATGTGAATTTTCGAGCAACAGGCCCAAATTGATGTAGTCGCCATTTACAATTTTAAGTTTTAATCTATTTGGCACTCTGTGGCCTAAATCGTTATCATAACTTGGTGTTAAAGCAAGGTAACTATCATTTATAATGTCAGGTTCTGTACCTGCACTCTGTTCCTGTGTGATATTGATTGTTTCAGTTGCTCTTTGGGGGGGGGGGGGGTCTCTGCTGGACTCGGGTCTCATTCTACTTGCTGCTCAGAATATCTGCCACTGCTTGCGACACCTGTTGCAACTGTTCGTTAGATAATGACAGTGGCAAGTGGCCTGTGGTCTCGCTAGCTTCTGGTTGGCCTTGAGCCGGAGGAGCGCCATCATTCCGCTTGGTAGGCCTGCTTGGCAAGGGCGTTAGGTCACGCTTCCTTTTTGGCATTATCGCTAGGTGCTCGTTATGAAATACTGTAAAACGAGAAAAAAATGGTGCACTTCTAATTTTAGCGCCTTAGGCGCAAGTGCCCCTTAAAGCTAAAATTTATTGTGCGCTAACGGGTTTCTAAATATTAAACTTTTTTGTGTTCAAAGCAATCACTTAAGTAAATGTAAACGGGCACGCGCGATTACATAATGTAGAAGGGTCGCTGTATTTTTGTATACATACTCGCACTGGTAAACTGTAGGATCGATCATGTGCCAAAATAATGCTGATTCTTTGCAAAAAAAATATGAATATTTATCACTAAAATTAATTGTATGGTCTGTTCTCCTTATCTAGCTTAATAAATTTCACCTTTTGCTTGACCCATTGTATTGTATACATATACGTTTTTATATGTTTATGTACCTCAGGTACCATTTACATGATTTTGAGAGAATAAATTGAATTGAATTGAATGAATCGAGAAAGTTCTGCCAAATCATTAATTAATTTAACAATTGTTAGTCGCAGTGGTTAGAGCGTCTGCTCTAGAGTCGCGGAGTAAGGAGTTGATCCTTACGTCGCGGTTTGAATCCCACTGTGGGACGTGGAGACCGGTCCTTCGGATGAGACCGTATAAACCGAGGTCCCGTGTCGCAGTAGGTGCTGGCACGAAAAAGATCCCTCACTGCTCAATGGCCGTAAGTGCCGAGTATAGGACAAAATTTGCAGCTCTCCACCGGCAAGTGGTGGCGTCTCCATATGAGTGAAAAATTCTCGAGAGGGACGTTAAACAACATACAAACAAACAAAACAATTGTTAGTTGTTACCCGGTACTCATCATTAGCACTTTCAAAGTTGGGCCTCTCGCCGTGTCAATCATCTATCTCCTCTAGGCGAACAATGCGATCAAGCATGGCGATCGACCTTGCAGACAATACCTGATTATGTTTACCAGTTATCCAGGTAACTTTCCTTCGATGTATGCATGATTTTAATATTCATGAATAAAATGCATGAACACCCCACAATCATTTATTTAGGTCCCACATCCACGTGCTTGCAACACAAGGGAAAAGTGAACGAATGTTTACCTGTGTAAGTGAGTTAGAAATCATGCTATTGTATTTGCGTGCTTGAGTGACCACAAAATCAAATACGGGCGTGGATCAAAAGAGAAAAATATCACATTATATATGTTAATGATTAATGCTAAAATTTATTTGCACCAAATGCATCCCCACTTGCATTTGCTCTAAAATACGTACGCGCCAAATTTTCTCGTTTTACAGTATTCTCTATTGAGAAGTTGATGGCTCGTTTGATACTCCCCCTCAACTTCTCTACGGAAGGCCTAATAAAAGCAGTTCAGAAATCGACTAAATGAAGAACCAAACCGGACCCCACATCGATCGATGTTTTAGGTCTGATGCGATATCATAGACGTAGTCTGGATGCACAGATGTTATTTTGCCATAGATATACGAATAAAATACCAATTCCGCTGACTTAAAACACGTTTTCAATGATAGAACACTTACTTGCAATCTGTGTCACCGGATTCGTTTATTCACTCAAACCTGCGTTTGCACCCTGTTGATCTCTAACAAAGTATAAAACTTTTTTTTCGGATAAATTGGATTAAATGTTCCTGTGTTAAATAGTTATCCGGAGAAATAGTTTTAGACTTTGTTAGAGGTCAACCCGAGTTCAAACGAAGTTTTGGATGAATAAACGAATCCGGCGACACAGATATCGCAAGTAAGTGTTCTATCATTGAAAACGTGTTTTAAGTCAGCGGAATTGGTATTTTGTTCGCATATCTATGGCAAAATAACATCCGTGCATCCAGACTACGTCTATGACATCGCATCAGATCTAAAACACCGATCGAAGCGGGGTCCGGTTTGGTTCTTCATTTAGTCGATTTCTGAACTGCTTTTATTAGGCCTTCCGTAGAGAAGTTGAGGGGGAGTATTAAACGAGATATCAACTTCTCAATAGAGAATAGTTTTACAGTACACAAATATAAATGTTAAAATTTGACTGATCAAAGAAAAAGCAGTTTGTCTTTGGAAAACAATTAATGGAATTTATACTTATGACCATGTGTAGCTAGACGAACGGAAAATATCAAAAAATCAAAATAAGAGAATTATTTAAATCATCGACCGTGTTCAAATGATAAGTAGCGAGCGAACACAATCTACAACGCTCTACAAGACAATAAAAAAGAAATTTTACAAAAGACGATGATGCACGTGAAAAAAAAAGTTCACTGCCTAAAAAACATGTCTTAATTACCTCTTGAAATTTTGCAGGACCTTGATTTCTTGCCCTTGACGTCAAGGGTTTTGATGCTCAGGTTTGACTAATAAGCCCAAACCCCAAGGTTAGGATGATGCTAATACCGGGGCAGGACCCGAAGTATAACCACAAACGACAAAATATTGAAAAAATGAGGTTAGTGACACTTTGATAAATGGATTTAACTTTGAGTGGTTAAATCACATTAATTCTAATTTATTATCCATGCTTATTTTAGAAGCCCCCACCACCCCCACCACCCCCACCACCTTTGAAAGAAAAAAAAATACACAGGTATGTGTGCATTTTGTCAAGAATTAATTTTATCTTCTGTCGATTACCATCATATATATTGGACACATTTTTGGTCTCTTTTTTTGCCCATATCACTTCTCTTTCCCTTGAACGCCTATAGCTTGTTAACCAAATCATATAAGTATGCATTTGCTTGGCTTAAAATAATAAATGATGTTTATTCTTACAATTAAAAAGGAAAAAAAATAATTCTTTATGTCAGACGCCAAAAGTCAAATGACACCTTAGGTCAAATGCTGACTTACCTTTTTCATACAAATTGTTCGGCCATTATTATACACTGAATTGTCTACGGGTTTTTCCGTTTTCCCGATCATTACAAGGAGCACACGGCGGATGTGAGCAATTGAAAGGGGATGCTTTGTCCCCCATGGCACCTGACTATCCCTCTGATGTTTTGAGAGGTCCGTGTTTGCTCTTCTCCTGATTTGTATTGTTTAAACGGACTTTTGCGGATGATTACTTTTCGTTATCTTCATATTTCATCTATTTAAAATTATAAAGTCATTATTTAAATTCTAATCTCTTAACTCCTTGCAAAATCATTTAATTTCTTCACATTCATTCCATTTCAGTCGCGTAGAGTAACGAACGATTTTTTTCAACCATGCAAAAGATTTAAACGAATTTAACTTTTTTTTAAATATTGCACTTCTGATTTAATGATACCCATTTCCTTAACAAAATTGAATTTATTTTTCTTGAGATAAGAAGTCATCATGCTAAGATATGAAATAGCTCGACGACTTTTTTCTTTCAGTATTGAATTTTGAATATGAATTCTGCTTAACTGAGTACTTCTATCCTGAATGTTGACATGGAAAGGGATTGGATAGGATGGATTGATTGTGGTTATATGTTCACAAGAAAAAAAATAACTCAAACCATAACAAGTAATCAAATTTCTTTGCTTTCAAATTTCGAGACAATAGGCAAGAGGACGTCCATTTACCATTACGCTCACCTGACTCATCTGTCTTTTTTAATTAAAAAAATGTTTTCCTTATGTACTAGTATTCCAGATAAAATGTTAATTCTATTATGTAGCCCTACCCAAACCCCAATACTCTGGGACATGACGTATTAAATCTTCATTACACACAAAATCAGGGTGCTGAATAATGTGGAATTGTTGTTTTGTAATTATTTTCAAAGATATTTTTCCACATATGTATAAATTAGTTCTATTTTGGGATGCTTTTAAAGGAGTAATTGTAACATTCTTCCATATATATTTCGATGTATAAAAAAAAAAAAAAAAAAAAAAAAAAAAAAAAAAAAAAAAAAAAAAAACCTATGCTCCGCTTCCAAACTACTTTAGCTATGATTTGATCCCGACTGAACCTATGCTAAGGAAGCTGTCTTATAGGTTTTGTTTTTTTTTTCGGGCAGGGGCAGATCTAGAGGGGTCAGGTGGAATTTTCAGAGTTATTAAAATTCTGTTCTGAAAAAGGCGAAGATAACGAAAAATAATCGATCAAAAAAAAAAAAAATAATAATAATAACAATTACAAACAATACAGTTCTGTGAACAGGGAATAGAATTTGGACCCCCGAAAATCCCAGGGGTGGGATCGGGTGCCTAGGAGGAGTAAGCGGTCCTTGTCAACCTGTCACAACCGCCTTGAGCCCTGTGTATTGATCAGGGAGATGGTATTCAGAAATAGTAATCAGAAATAGAACAATGGTCTCACAATTGGTACGAAATATGTCAGGGAAAATACGATCAAATGAAAGGTTATATTTACTAACAAGGTCACGACAGTAAAGTCTACGAAATGTTGACTTTAAACGAGGTTGTTGAAATCCCTGTAACATCAACTTATCTATCAGTAGCCTGTCTTGGTTTAAAAATCGATCGTACTCGGAGCATGCTCTTGAATCTCGAATAAGTTTGGAGACATAAACACCATATCCAATAGCGGAATATTACTACACAAAAAAAGAAAAGTTGAAGATTGAAGAGCTGAAGTCATCTCGTTTGTCATACAGTTCAGCTGTTAGTTGGTCCTTTTGTCTTTTATTTTGAGTTCACTGGGGTATATCGAGTCGACATATGAATGGAAGTGATGAAATATGGAGATAACAAACATTAATCAAGCTCAAATGTTTATTAAAAAAATACAAATCAGGAGCAGAGCAAACATGGACCGATAGAAAAGTTGAAGTCATCAGAAATTTTGGTGTAAGGTTACCATTAACGTCTTTTTTCTAGAAAAAAAATATCCAAATATAAAACAGATTTTCAGATTCTGTGTTATCTTTCAAGTTCACAGGGATGTATTGAGTCGACATCTGACTGGAAATAACTATTGTTAATTGATAATATGTCGTCGATATATCAAATGTCGAGTTGAAGGCCACAAGATTCTTTTTTCTCATGTACAAGTTTTTG